AGGCTTGTACTTATGTCGATTTCCTCCATTTCATTTATCTAGTAATTTTATCGTATTTTACGAAAGTATTGGCTGAGACAGATGGAAATTATACATACTTTTTTTAACAAGAGATCATTTACAGAAAAGGAAAGTGAAGCACTGACAGACTACATCACTTGCTCAAGTTCAGAAAGACAGTAATTCTCTCATTCACTTATGCATTGACTTAGACGTTTACGAAGAGCCTTGTACACCAGCGAGCTCCACGCTGGAGCTACTGTGTAGAACAAGACTAAACAGAGCCCTGCGTCTCCCTGTACGAGTCCCAGGAGTCGCCTCAGACCGCCTCACTGACAGCACTCGGCCGGTTTCCCTCCCACCACCCTCGCCCCAGGAAGACGCGCGCAATGGTGTGTGGACACAGCCGGGCCAGCACACAAATACCCTATTACTGTACCACGAAAGGAACGAAATCAACAACCACGCACCAGGGACTGGGCTACAATGCGGCCCAGCTCTAGAACCCACCCCCGGACTCCGGCTCCACCCTCCACGCCCGGCCCCGCCCACCGCGTCGCCGGCGTAGCTTCCGCAACTCCTCTCACCGGCCCGCGCTCCGCCTTCCGCCACAGCTCCGAGTGCCGCTGTAACGCGCTCGCGAAGCCGCCTGGGCGCGTCCTAGGCTCCGTGGAATCTGAACTCCCGCTATCGGAGCCACTCTCAGTACTTGTTCCTCGGAAGGTCCTGGAGAAAAGAAACACTCGCAGAAAATGTCTCTCGGCAGCCACGGTACGGGTGCGACACAGAGCCGCCATGACGCCTTCGTTACCTGTGACTTTTGGCCTAACGTCCGCAAGCGCGCGGGTCACGGGGCGGAGCGACGAGAGGCCCGCCCACCCGCCGCAGAGCGCCGCAGGCCGACGGGCGTGGTTTATCCGGTGCCGGAGAGGCGTGCGGGGCGGGAGAGACTTCAGCTAAAGCTGATGGGCCAAATTGCTGGTGGCGAGAGGACCGCCAAGTTTTGCGCTAACCTTGTCCTACTGTAAATCCTGGTAATGTGACACTTGCTATTCCCCGCAGCTGGGTATCTCACCTAGATGGCCGCATGGGTCGCTGCCCCAGATTCTTCGGGTTTTCGCTCAAATGTAAGGTTCTCCTTGATTACCGTATTTGGAATTGGTTGCCAAAGCTCACACTATCCTGCTCCTCTCTTTCTCTATACCATTTAGTTCTTCCTAACATGCCGTATAGTTTACTTGAAGTGATTTTTAGTGTCTGTTCTCCCAGCTGTGTAAACTCCATGGGGGCAGGAACTTTGTCGTTGGATCCCCGGCTCTGGGGACATAGTAGGATTCAGTAAACATTTGTGAAGCCCTGGGTCCAAGGTTGTCCTTCGTTGGCACTTCTGCATCCAGTCCACTAATGTTACAAAAATAGTAATCTTTCTGAGACATTTTATCACCGCTAGACAGCTACTATCCCTTCTCCTAGGAAATTAAGAAACTTCGGAATGCGCCTAAATATTGCGCAACCAGAGGCACCCATACTTACTCTTGGTTTTCTCCCTCCCTCGTGTTAATTTCCAGAATTTGACCGACCTCTTCAAGACCCTAACATCCTACCTGAGGATGTATTTACCAGCCTCATCTTTTACCCAGCAGTTTTATATTAATCCGCAATCAATTATTTTGGATTGAGGTGGCACAAACCTTCTCAGTCCATTTGCAAGTATTTTGAGAGGGTGTTTTTGTTTTTAAATGACCACGGACCCTATTTTAATAATGCCCTTGACTAGATTTTAAACCTTTCTGATGCTCTCAAACAAATGGGATAGATGATGTACAGAACACTAGAACTAAACTGACTTTGGAATGGTGCATAATTGTATGAATCACACAAGACTTACTATTACTAGCCAAATGTAGGGTAGTCCTTAAATTCAGAAAGGGGCTTAAGATAAATTCTACTCCAGGTGAGTTCTCCCTCTTGGCACTTGAACTGTTCATTTCCCTTGACCATTATCGGACCCTTGCCTAAAACAGTATTGCATTACTTCATATGGCTGTTGCTATTTCCAATTCCTTTCAGAAGAAAGTGTGGTAAATTGTAAGAGGCATGACCAGTGGCCTTTGAGAACACTCAGTTCCAGTCTTGACTATAATCCTTATCTTAGGCAAGCCAATTTAATGTTGCTGGTTTGATTTCCTCACTTGTAAAATCAAGCTATTACCCTCTGTGCCAAGCTTAGGGAGTGCTTTATAACCTTTACATCAGTGTGGACAGAACAAATAGGTTTACTAAGGTCTTAGCTCTAAAATTCAATATATGCGTTATGTTCATGTCCTACTGCAACCAGATAATAAATTCAAAGATTGTGACAATAGGCATTTGGGGACAAACCCTGTTGTTTTTAATGTATATATTGATGGGCTGTAATACTCAGGATAAATAGGATACATCTTCTAGAAGCTTTCAATTTTACTTGAAGATCGGAGGTTACTTTCACATTAAACATTTTTTAGGAACAGAACAAAAGTCACCTGAATTTACAACATAAGTTTGTATCAGTGTATGCTTTAGTTCTCTGCCTCTAGTAGAGCATCAGAAGAATCAAATGAGAGGGATTGTGAAGAACTGAGTATGTCAACAAGAGGGATGTCTGCAGACTTCTTGCCTCAACAAGAGCCAACAGTAAATCACCTGTAATGGCAGTGTTTTCACATCTTCATGGCATTCTTTTTCTAACCACACCTTTCTTGCTTTATTAAAAATGTAGGCCTCCCTTTTTTCCCCTATGGCTTGTAAATTGTTAATATGCATTGCAAAAATACTAGTAATGGCAGATGGCAAGGAAAGTGAACAGAAAACAGTTCAAGTCCTGGCTTCACATCTGCTGGCCATGGTTTCAGCTATAAAATGGTGACACCACCACATCCTTGCGTGAAGAATTAAAGGAGATGAGTATAAAATGCCTGGGTACTTACTGAAAGCTCAATGAATAGTGGCTATTAGTGGCTAGGTGGAAGTGATCAGGAGGTGATTAGAAATTCATTCCTCTTAACCATGTGTGAAAATCAGGACGACCAGGTCTAGAGATACAGATTGAGGAGATATTAGTAAAACTGTAAAGATAAGTCATTCCAGCCATAGCAATGGGTAAGATCATTAAGGGGATCATATAGAAGGCAACTAGGGACAGGCAATAGCACTTAAGGAGTTGGAATACTAAAAAACAGTCACCACAAAATAAGAACAGAGAATGAATCCTAGAAACCACAGAAAACATGGCATGTTGAATTGGAGAGTGTTAAAGTGAAATATCACATCCACTTACAAATATTCAAAAAACAAAACTGTTTGGCTTTTACCATGTGATAGGAAAACCACCAGATGAACACAATACCAACCAGCCTCACTAATAACATCAAAATTACATACAAGAGTTGGCAAGAATTTTAGTCACCAAATAGCATTTATTTAAGTATGAAATCCTGACAGGTGATAGGCACATGCAGGCCCTGCCCTCTGAGGGCTTACAAACTAAGAGTGAAAGCCTTTTGGTTCATTCTGATTTCAGAGTCAGAACAATACGCAAATTGTGAAATCTAAGGTTTGCAGTTTTACCTAAAAATGATAATACTTTATATTGACTGTGACCCAATTATGGTCTCTATAATTAATCCAATTAGAATGGGACAGCCACTAGAAATAAGGACTCATCAATGACCAAATATCTCTTCACTACTGGCAAAAAAATTTCATCTGGATTTTAAGAGCTATGGACACATGATTCTGACAAACCGCCTTATACAGCACCTCCTCTGGCACATATGCAGCAATAGTCAGTGAATACCTATAGCCAGCATGTAGCTTTTTCAGTTTGGCTTGATGCACTGATTCAGTATAATCTAGCATATGAAGGGTTTGGAGAGAAGTTACATAATGGACTTGCCCCTTTCCTCAAAAGACAGGTTAATACATATGAAAGAACCCATACCCAAATTATAGAATTTTTATTGTTTTCAAATACTGTACAAAAAATAGTGTGTATATGTTGGTNTCTAGATTCATCTGCACTCTTTTCACTACTTCTTTTAAGAGGCAGAGTACTTTACTACAGATTAAATAATTTTTTAGATTAAATGCAAGTAGATATCTGGAAAAGTGATTTTCCAATTTCTTCTTTCACGACCATCCCCAATACCCATCCACAAACACCATCCTACTTCCCACCCCATTTCTATCATTTTTCCCCCTATCAGCAGTAAAGAGATTTGAGGATATTTCATTCAACTAAAGAAATTGCCATCTCACTCTATTTTGCCTTGCTGAATATATAGTAACAGGGCAGGACACCCAAGAAACAATGTAATGAAAAAATGATGTTGGAATAAANTTAAATATCTGAGATTTCATAAATATCTCTAATTTCACTCTCTTGCTGTTTTCTTATAGTGTCAAACACAAAACAAAATAGAGTAACCAGGACCTTTCCGGTATTCCTATTAATTACTGTTTCAAATTTCTTAAATATCTGTGAAATCATAATATTGAATCTGTTGCAAAGACCATTTTGAGTAATATTTCTAAATCCATGTTTATTTTTCTAGATTCATCTGCACTCTTTTCACTACTTCTTTTAAGAGGCAGAGTACTTTACTACAGA